CCGTTCAAATTATAAAACGAGAGGAAATTTTCTTTATCGAAAAAGAAAAAAGAAAACGCGCGAAGTAAAAATAAAGTGACACTATATTACGTTGTTTTACTCAAGTTAAGTGCATCCTCTTTATTTTTACTTATATAAGTATTATTCACGAGCCAGCTAGGAAACGAATATATAGAGCAGGATCGACCGCCCTGTGGAAGAACATCAGGACATCCCGGATCAATACGACCAACAGAGATGAAAACAATGACATTCAGGTTGAATGACGAAGAAAGAGCTACACACCCACGTAAAAGTGTGCTCAACGAATGGCGCTGCTGTATCCTGAAACGAGATATAATTTTCACGGAAATTTTTATTTTCTTTTAAACGGATAATTATGAAATACTTTATAAAATATATCATAATTCTACGTGAAAATTTTCCACATTAAATCTTTTCTTTCAAGATGAATTTGTAAAAATATTTTCTATTCACTTCATATCATATTTTCCCCGGGATATTTGCAAGTACAATACGCGATTGTTAATTAAATTGAAATTGCATTTACGAGGCAAACAAAATTTTCCAGGAAAATTTCCAGGGTAAACACAGAGAATAGTTCTGCCATTGATTTCACATTTTCGTTCTCACAATTCGCAAAGAATAAACTTGCAAAGATTCGTATTGAAAATTTATATTGTAAAGAAAAAAATTTATCCATCTCATCTTTAACGAGGAAAGTAGATCTATAAATAATTAAAATACGAGCTTAAAATCTGAATGAATAAAATGGTACCTAGGTCATGTGCGTAAAAAAAGTCAAGGGATGCGCTTGCGCGGATGTTTGCACAAGCCTGTACAAGGGAAACCGGAACAACGTAGAAGTATAGATTGCTAATGCAAGCACGGCTCAGACTCAGTCCTCCAGCAAGCTTCATTGAGGACTTGTTGATCCCGAGAAGAGACAAGATAGCTAATCTTTCCAGGTCGACTTACAAAGAAATACTAGCAAGTGAAGGAGTTTGTAAGTTCAAGAATTTTTTAAATTCTATTTACAAAAGCGACAAAGGAATACTTGCCTGTTCGAAAAACATTTTGTAAAAATGTTTCGTCAAACTGTTTGAAAACTGTCATGAAAAATATCATTCATTTCCATTATTCTATCACCGTTATAATAAGTTTTATCAACGTCAGTTTAATTTCTGTAAAAAAAAAAAAAAAAAAAAGGGAAAATTATTAATTCAAGATGGAAATGTAAAATATTTATCATTGAATAAATTTCGTACGTGTTTGATTTGAAATATCTTTAAAAATTTACTTGAATTTCAGAGGTTTCAAGTGCTTCATATACTTACATGGGACAAAAAATGTACACGTGTGTTGCATTGACCGTCGTTGCTCTAGTAAGCACGATGCACTTTGGTGTCGAGGCATGGGGTGGTCTATTTAATCGTTTCAGCCCAGAAATGTTATCGAATCTTGGCTACGGTAGCCACGGTGACCATATGAGCAAATCAGGATTGTATCAGGTATGGGAAAAATTTTTTATTATAACGAACGAAGTTTTCTCCAATAAGACGAGATATCTTCACACATCAAATAACTGTTGCAACTTTGCCGCAGTATTACCGGTGTACGATCGATATATTATTTTCATAGAATTGTGCACTTTTCACGTACACGTTTATCTGCAAACGATACAATACAGATCGAAATATCATTGAATTTCTCTTTGATATCAATTATTGGCTTATTTTAAATTTGAAAAATTCTTTCGAACGTCTTATTTGCAATAAATATACAAATCAAAAAGATATATATATGTTATTTCTTCTATTTTCTGTATATCATACAATAATAATAATAATAAAATATCACGCGTTTCATTTCAAGCGTCCATTATCTACCAGTTATGGGTATTCCTATGACTCTCTAGAAGAAGTTATACCATGCTATGAAGAAAATGTACGCTTAACGAGCACTGTTGTCCGGGTTCCATTTGCATGAATGTCGATGGAGGTAACTATCATTCTCCGTTCCCCCATTGTTAAATGATTTTAAAAGACGCAAACTGGAAATTCTTCTTCTTGAATTATAGATGTTGGTCATTGCGTTTTTGAATTGGGGCAGAAACAGGGAGAACTTTGCAGGAATGATAACGATTGCGAAACTGGTTTGATGTGCGCCGAAATTGCCGGTAGCGAAACTCGTTCGTGTCAGGTGCCAATAACTTCCAACAAATTATATAGTAAGTAAATATAAATCTATGGCAAGTGACGTCATCCACGTATTAACCGGTCAGAAAATATCTTTTACGCGACAAAAATTCAAAGATAATCGATAAAGGTCGCAAGTAACTACGTCAAATGAATCGTTTCTTCTAACGTAATACAGCTATACGTTGTATTCCATTTCTAAATATATGGAACGTTCTATTTTTAATTTTTACCCAGATGAGGAGTGTAACGTGTCCGGGGAATGCGATATCAGTCGCGGTTTGTGCTGTCAGCTTCAGAGACGTCATCGACAAACGCCAAGAAAGGTATTTTTTTTATTTAAAGATAGAAACACGAGATATTTTTACGCAGAAGGATCATCATCCCCATACGAATCTTCTTTCTTCTCACTAGGTTTGCTCGTATTTCAAAGATCCTCTGGTTTGCATCGGGCCAGTTGCAACGGACCAAATAAAATCGATCGTTCAGTATACTTCTGGCGAGAAACGGATCACTGGACAGGGGAATCGTATATTTAAACGTTCCCTTAAGGCTCCCTTCGCCTAAAATCTATATTGTTCCTTATGAACTGGTGAGAATGAAAGGCGTATCTAGATAAATCAAATCCCTCTTGTCATTACACTGAAAAAAGAAAAAGAAAAAAAAAAAGAAAAAAAAAAGAAAAAAAAACTTAAGATAAGTCTGTTATTTCGAAATTTCCTAAATTGTTTCGATGTTCGTAAGTCTGTCAAGAGTGGAGAAATCATAAACGCGCTTTTTGATTGTTTTCTTCCAAATATTACGACTGAAAAAAATACGATACATATCAGAATAGTCCGTCTTATAAGATTATAAGGTATTATTAAATATTAATGAAAAGAATTATACAGCGTGTTTTCAAAAATTGAATTTAATAATCGATGAATAATGGATGTACTGGATGTGTGATAGAAGAGAAGAAGTTTCCTCTTTATCATTCTTTTACTATTCTTACTTTTTCCCACTTGTCCGGTTAAACATATAGAAATTAAAATTTTAC